TTAGGGAAAACCCTAGTTATCCTTTGCTTAGGGCCTAAGCAAGACCCAAGGCCTTATCTTGGACCCCTTGGACGAATTCTCTAGGGTTTCCCCTAGGGTTTTCGTCCACCCCCTTCCAAGGGAGTTCTGGATCCTTCCATTCAACTATCAATTAATTGCAAACTAGTCCCTGCACTTTATAATTAATTCTTTTAACCCCAAAATCAATTCTGATTAATTTCTAGCTAACAATTAATTAAACATAATGATTTCTAATTAATATATTAATCCTTTAACATATTAATAAATCAATTATATATATATTAATTTATTAATCTTATAAATTAATATCTCTCCTTTCATAATTTCCTTGTCCAGTTGCTAGGTTGAGGGCAACCCAAAAGGACTGTGCTGCTATCAATTCAAGTACATACCAATTATAGTTATGGGCTTAGACACCTAATCCAACATATATATGGTTGGCTGCTTCAAAAAAAAAGTTGTTCTTTTTTTCTAAAAATCTCTTTAATAAAAAAAATATAAGAATTCTAAATGTAAAATAGATAGACTTAAAAAAAACTCATTGCACTCTTTGTAATTCTCTTTCTATCTCTTTGCTAGTTCAAAAAAATTTGTTTTTTTTTTCTAAAAATTCCTTTAATAAAAAAAGTTATTGATTAATTAAATCCATAACAATTTTTTTACTCCAAGTGATCACCAGCCTAGCTGGTTGTGATGCATCCTGGGTTATAGGCCTCAGTGGATGAGGTCAAGAGTTTGATTATTGGCTGAACATATTTGGAGGATCTTCCCTGGATTGGCGTGGGTTCGATTCTTCGTTCCCTTTGGTGGTGAGTGGTGCCCCTCTTGGTAGCCCGCCAGGCATTCCTGATCCATCGGGTCGAGTTACACATAATCAGGTCTATAGCTGCTTGGATTTCAAAATGGTTGGTCTGTATGATCTGAAAATCAGTTATAACTAGTCGAACTTAGATGGTAGATTTTGTTGGTGAATAGTGATAAAGTTTTGTAGTTTGTTTAGGAGTCTAAAAAGATAGCCAAATATATATATATATATATATATATATATATATATATATATATATATATATATATATAACAAAATACATATGTATATATGGGTTTTTCATGTTGATATAAAGGCTGTAGGCTGCTTGGAAACTCAAACATAAGGTTTGGATGTTTGTGTTCATATTGAGATCTGTTACCCAAAATGTTAACATAATATAACGCGCGTTACACCATTTTACGATAAGTATATGCATCGTAAAGCTGATAACAAAAATGATATTATACAAAATGTATGGTGGTTAGAATGATTTATGCATTCGTTGTATTTACATGTCTTCTTTTTAGAAGAGCTAAAATACATCCTCTAAATTATACTTCTAACTACACAATTTGTCCATAAAGGGACTTAAACCCTTAACCCTTTAGGGAATGGACGCCTTTTCAAACACCTGAATGGATACATTTGTTCATGAATGGATCAAACCATTAACTTTATTTTGGTAAGGGGGTATTTTAGACTAAAAGTGAAAGTTACTGGGGCAAAGATGGTCTTCCTTTGAAAGGAAACGCTCTGATGATTAGTTGGTGGTAGGCTGCCGCTAATGTTGCCCCCGACATTGGTCCCGCCCAGAATATCCACTGTTTAAAAATATACTCATTAATTATTACTATTTTATCATTAATCAAGAAATGACAAAAAAGAAATTACAATATATATTATACAAAATGAGGTTTATTAAATCATCAAACATTTTATTAAAATATCAAAATATATAATAATTGTATTAAAAGATAGAAAATATATATAGTGGACTAGACTAACATGTTCATTCCATGCTTGCTCCTTGTTATAGATGAGGGCAGCTCCCAGACTCCTCGCCGGATTAATCCCAGTGCCGGTGATCGGAATGGTGGCCAAATGAACCAAAAACACCGCAAACCCAATTGGCAACGGCGCCAAAATCTGCCGAATCAAACCACACAAAATTATGATCTTGTCTCTTTCCAACAAATTAATCGATAAAATTACATTAATCAGTCTTATGAATACGTACAGGGACGCGGGAATCGCGAGCACTGAACTTGGCGTCGGTGGCGGAGAAGACGGTGTACACAAGGATGAATGTTCCGACGATTTCCGCCCCAAGGCCGTCGATTTTGCCGTATCCTTCAGAAACCACGTTGGCGCCACCGCCGTGTAGCTCAAATACTTTCTCTCCTTCAAACCCCTTTACAACTCCGGCGCCACAAATTGCACCGGCGCATTGCATCACCATGTACAACAACGCCCTCGGAAACGACAGTTTTCTACCCAGAAACAACCCAAATGTCACCGACGGATTAATATGACCTCCTGTTAGAGACCCAAATCGTTATAAATTAAATGTTTTGACAATCTGAAACACACCGATTATGAGAAATTAATTGCAGAAATTAGGGCACCTGACCTGAGATGCCGGAGGTGCAATAGACAAGAGCGAAAATCATGCCACCGAAGGCCCAGGCGATTCCTTGGACGCCGACGGAGGAGCATTTGTTTTGGGATTTGGAGACTTGGATGACTGTCATGAGGGAGATGTATAGAAATAGAAAAGTGGCAACGAATTCGGCTATGGCAGCTCTGTAGAATGACCAGCAGCAGAGCTCCGCCGCCTCGAAGAACGGAACGGCCTCCGGCTCTTTGTAATCTTTGTCATAAATTCGAGCCGCCGTGCCGAGTGGGCGTCTGTCCCTGAATCTGTGGGTTCCCAAATGAACGCCATCTTCCCTTCTTTCCATTTGATTTCTGTGTGTGTGTGTGTGTTAATTTCTTTCTGTAAAAATGTCTGTGGTATTTGTAATTGTAATGGAAGCGAATGGTGGTTAAAAATGGAAGCATATTGTTTATCAACGTCCTCTACATTTTAACGGAATTCAGGCATCCTTCATATCAATTTTTGCAAACACAGGCATACACCATGAAAATAACTTTATTATTATTATGTTTTCAATATATAGGATTATTTTAAGTGATATTTACTCGAAAATACAGTATATGCTAAATCAATATCATATAATAACTACATTTTCCAAAAAAAAAAAAAAAAAAAAAAAACACAAATGACCATCAAATTCGAATTTTGAGATTTTTGAAATATATTTTCTGATAAAATAATTTGAATATTGTGTTGAAATTTCAAATTACTATTTTTATTATAAAAAAGTAGGTCCTTGGAGATGAAGGCAATCCCACAAACATCGAAAGCAAATAAAATGTAATCATGGGATCGAGTAAAATAGCATTGCTAAATTAAAGATATATTGAAAGCATAGCATATGATTATATATAATCCTTAATAAGATAAAAAAAAATTAAGATCCAGAAAAAACAACCCAACAATTTCCATCAGAGACTAGATGCATGTTAATTATCATCCATAAAGTAAAACTAACATAAAAAATATTACTTAATTATGGTTTGCAATCAATCAAGAAATTGGTAAAACAACCATATCCCATCATTTGGCTTCCTTCGAAAAAAGCATCCTTCAACGAGTCTTGCACGACCACCAGTGGGCTGGCATATCACGGATTGGCAGTTTTTACACACCACAACTGTTTGTGAATGGCTAAACACAGTTGTTCTGTAATTAAACCAATAAATAAATTCAGAAAAAAAAACATGAATTCAATCATTATGTGATAAATAAAAAAAGTAAATCCAAAAGTACACATATGATAGGAATTGACTACTCACAAGCTAAAACAGCCTTGGCACTTAACGTCCTGCATGCATGCACCATTATGACATAACTCTTTTGGTTAATTAACTATATACGTAGGTTAATATACTAAAAAAACATAATCAAAACATCACAAATATATTATTAGAGCTTGAGACGATTCTTCAAACAGAAAAAGAGAGGGAGAATATTAAATATATATACTACCATGAAGAAAGAATTGGGTGATTGGACAATACGCTTCAGCTTATGCTTCATCTTTTCCAACTCAGCTGGTGGATTCAGCAAATCAACATCGTTTGATGAACCCTATTAAGAATTTAAGATCGATGCATCATGCTTCTTCAATTAGATTAAACATAATAATCCAAAACTCGAAGTTTCATTTAAAAAATAACTCACCATATATATCTTGAATCTCTTGATGTTGTTGTTTCGTAAAGTTGAAGTCGTCTCACTAAACCCTAGCAGGTATTAACCGCAGCTTCGACTCCAACGTGTATATATATTGGGCTATGAATCAAATCCCATATTTTAACTGATTAGGGTAAATTGTTGTTTCGTAAAGTCAACATTTTATAGTTAATGGACACATATACCCCTAAATTTAAATAGATAGTGTATTTTGATTAATTATTCAGTTTTGACATTGATTTGTTTCCTTATTTTTCCTTCTTCCTCTTTAGGCACTGCAAATTTAAAGGGATTTGTTTCCAAAAAGATCCCAAGATAATCTCCACGGAGTATGATTTCTTCAAGATGGGCTGCTTAGACATTTGCTATATTTAATAGCCTGTTATTGAAACTGAAAGAGAAATTAAATATCCTCCTATTTTTTATCCTACAAATCTTCCTACCCAATTAAATGATGACATGTGTCATCCAAGTCAAACATTAGTTAACAATGAGATAATTAAAAGAAAACATATCCTTAACAAATCATATAAGTTTTCGTCACATAATCTCTAATAAAGTATACGGAACCAAAGTATAAACTATTCTTTGTTTTTTTTTCCATAAGATTCAATAAAAAGCTTTTAGGTGATAATAATCAAACAGTAGAAATGTAATTGTCCCATTTGCTTACAAACAAAATTATGCCAGCGAATTTTCTTAGGACTGAGATTCATGTAATTACTTTGTGTTTATTGTTAGTCCTTCATTGATCTCCAACCCCACAATCACTTTCCATTGTTTCTTGATTCTCCCCACAAACTTAACAAACTCATCAGTTTTTTCACAATTAAATCCTCTTATTCAAAATGCACCCTAACTCCATCCTCGAAGAAAAAATCCAAGCCCAAATTGATTTAAATAATCGGTTCATTTTTTTATGGACCACAATTATAGCTAAACTTAGAGATCAAAAAAAACTCTAGTGGAATAAACGAAATCGGTAAAAAAAACCCCTCGATGGTCATACAAATTGATAAACGAGTTACACTAAAATTTTAAAAAAAAACGACGTAAAGAACAAGGCATAATACAAAGGCTGGGGTACCAGCTTCGAACAACAAAATATAAGCATATAGATTTTTTAAATCGTTCGACACGAATTTTAGAAACTTTGAAGCAATCTAATTTAAATAATTCTAATTCTAATATTGATAAAAAATTTAATAATAAAGATTTGGATTTTATAAGTTATTTCGAAGAACTAGATTTTCGTCAATCCGTAATCAAAGGATCTATGTGCGCTCAAATTAAGGCGTAAATTGATTATTTGGGGACCGTATCAAGGAAATCTTCATTCCCCGCCTTTTTTCAAATAGCTTAAAGTGTATTTACGGGTAGTATTTTGGGGGTTAAATCCGAGTTTTTTGTAAAAATAAGTTAGTTTTCAAAAAGTATTGTAGAAATAGGTTAGTTTTAGAATGTATTGTAGAAATAGACTTTTTTTTTTTAGTTGGGCCCACTATTTGTCGTTCATTCCGACAATGATATATATATATATATTTTTTCAAGTAACCCCCTTAACTTTCATTGCTTTTCTATTATTTATATCTTTCATTGATTAATTCAAATTTTTACA